CAGCTATAACAGAGTTGAACCTCAACATTTAGGCGGTCCTGGCGCCCCGAGGATGCTCTGTGGAGGGATGGGGATGCACATGAGAGCGATTTCCCCTCTTTTTGCTGTCAGAGTCAATGGGAAGACAATCAAGGAGGACCTGATGTAGAGCACATGGAACTCTGCTCACTGTTATGGGGCAGCCTGCATGGGAGGGGGTTTGGGGGAGAATGGATCCATGTGTATGTACGGCTGAGTCTCCCTGCTGCTCACCTGAAACCATCACAACGTTGTCTGCTAATCGGCTACACCCCAATACAAAATAAAAAGTTTAAAAACGCAGTGAAAATTTAGTTAAGGGAAGGATATAGAGACCAAACGGCCGTTTTTGCTAAAAATTAATGGACTGTCACTTATTGCGTTTATCACAGATGCTATTCATAGACCATCTATTTTGCTGTAAAAGATGCTGCTACTGCCCAATTACCCAAAATTCTGTTTCTTTTCAACAGAATTGTTGAAAAGATTTTTCAACAATTTTATAAATTGGTGACTTTATAAAAAGGCGACACAGGAAAATAAAAGGAACATTCAGGAACCCAGGGGAGATAAAGCTGTCAGCCAGCCGAGGCAGGACCTCTCTTAGGGACAGAGTCATTCCTTCTCTTTTTATCTCTGCAGACTTTTCCCCAGGACCCCCTCGGATGAGAGTGTTGGTGAGGAAGACGCAGCTCCTCTGCTCTCAGAAGGGTGGGAGGCGGGGGTCAGGCGGGGTGGGCGGTGGCTGATGGGGAGGGGAGGGGAACTAATGCTTCTTAATTGTGGCCTGTGAGGTCCCCAGAAGAAATGCTCTTCATGGGTGTCATTTGCATCCTGCCCATTAGCATCTCCAAGGACCCTGACAAATGATTGGGAAGACATCCACTGGCCTTTGCCGTATCAGCAGCTTGCTTTGCCCATAGCTGTGTGTCTCCTTCAGATTCATTGAACATTTGCCCTCTTCCTTCCCAACCTAAAAGGTGAAGAGCTGGAGACTCCAGTGACGGAAAAGACCTACAACTGCCCAGATCCATCTCTTAGCTTCCATTCACTTAGGTATCTGTCTTGAGTTTATATACAGTTTTTCAGTTCTTTTCCATTATAAGTTACTACCAGACACTGAATGTCGTTCTCTGTGGGTGCATGCTCAGTCGTGTCCGACTCTTTGAGATGCTATGGACTGTAGCCCGCCAGGCTCCTCTGTCCATGGGGTTCTCCAGGCAAGAATACTGGAGTGGGCTGCTGTGCCCTCCTCCAGGGGATCTTCCTGACCCAGGGATGAAACGTGTGTTTCTTGTGTCTCGTGCATTGGCAGGCGGATTCTTTACCACTGCCCCCCCTCGGAAGCCTTAAGTATCTGTCTTCAGAATTGCTATGGGTTGAATGTTTGTGTCCCCCTCAAACTCATCTGTTGAAATCCTAACCCCCAAGGTGATGGTTGCAGGAGGTGGGGCTTGAGGGGTGATTAGATCACAAAGGTGGAGCCCTCGAAGGTGGGACTGGTGTCTTTCTAAAGAGGACCGAAATAGCTTCCTTTATGCTTTCTGCCACGTGAGGACACAAGGGTAAGATGAATGTCTATGAGGGAGTAGGCTGTCACCAGACACTGCGTCTTCTGGGGCCTTGAGTTTGGACTTTCCAGCCTCCAGAACTTTGAGAAATAAATGTGTGCAGGGTTTTTTTGTTTGTTTTTGTTCATGTTGTCTTGGCCACACTGCACAGCTTGCAGGACCTGGACCTTAGTTTCTCAACCAGAGATTAAACCTGGGACCCGGGCATTGAAAGCACAGAATCCCAACCCCCAGACCACTGGAATCCCCAGTGTCTGTTGGTTATAAGCCACCCAGTCAGTGATATTTTCTATGGCATCCTGAACACACTAAGATAAGTACCATGGAACCTATCTTGGGGTTTGGGCCCAGGAGGGAAATTGAGCATGGACCTGGTGCCGATCACTCATTATGGCATGATGAGCTTCTAGAAGGCACCCCTGCCTTCTTGTGATGGCAGCCGGTGAGTACTATCCTGCAGGACGTGTGCTCAGCTTTGCTGCAATGGTTTGCTCATTTGTTTCCTGCAGGGAAGTTTCCGCATCGTGGCCTGCCACGACTTGTTCCCGACCACTTGTCTGGTTTCATGTTTGGAATTCTTCCCTCCACACTGAGAGCTGCAGCCACTCTGAGCTGTTTTCACCTTGTGCCCTTTCTTATCCTTTGAGGGAGCATTCTCTCCATCTAGAAGCTTCTGGACACCTCCTCCTCTGTCCTAGGCAAACTTCTTTTTTAATGGGGAAAGTGTTTCTTATTTACTTCCTTATTTATCTGGGGCTGTGCTGGGTCTTCACTGCCGTGGGGACTCTTCTCTAGCTGTGAGCAGGGAATGCTCTCACGATGTGGTCCGCAGGCTTGCTTCTCGCTGCGGTGGCTTCTGTTGTCGTGGAGTTCGGGCTCTCGGGCATGTGGGCTTTAGGACTTGTGGCTCAAGGACTCAGTAGATTGTGGTTCCCAGGTTCTGGGACACAGGCTCGATACTTGTGGCACATGGGCTTAGCTGCTTTGAGACATGTGGGATCTTCTTGGACCAGGGAACAAACCTATGTCCCCTGCATTGGCAGGCAGATTCTTAACCACTGGACCACCAGGGAAGTCCTAGCCAGCCTTCTTCAAGTCTCAAAGCAAACTCTAGCTCTATTACACTTGCTGCGATGCTCTCAAACACACAGGAAAGGGTTTCTCCAGGCTCCCACCAAACCTGAGTGGCTTGTGTTACTGTCACTGTCTGCTTGCCTGAAAGGCCCTCCATGGACTCAACTGCTGGAGGTCAAGATTCTGTTTTGTTTTGCTTATTTTCGTATTTGTATCAGTAACATTATCTTACTCCCGTAATACATATTTGCTGCCCGATTGACTAGAGATTACAGGGTGTTGTGGAGGTGACGTGTAAAGGGCCTGCTTTCTAGCAAGCTCATCCACTATAGGTGTTCATCATCTTGGGAAAAGAGAGATCACACTAGGAAAAATCCAGAACCTTTTAGACTGAAACCACCAGAAATGCCAATATCCCTGGGGGGAGGGTTTACTTGCTGTAGAAGCAGAACAATAAGACTTTGGAAAGTACTTCTGAGACTTTCAGCTTTGGGGAATTTTTGGTGGCTGATACATTAGGGAAGAAAAAAATCAGATCCCAGTTTCCCATTGGCGCTGGTACTCCTCTGCCGTCTTGTTGATTTCAAATGCTAGCCACATTAGGCAGAGCATGCAGTCACACCCTTGTCTCCTTTCCCAGCGTTTGCACATGAGCTAACATGTACATAGGAACGTTAAGTCCGTCTGCTCTCTAATCACGGTTCCTGTGCTCAGCAATGATGAGCAAATAGTGTGATAAGCTGTCATTTTAAAAAAGACTTAACGGTGGAAAGAATAGGAGATTTGGAGTCAGAAAACTCCCCAAGTTCCAGCCTTGACTCTGTCACTCTCTGTGTGATCTGAAGCTCTTTTTTTAAAAAAATTTTATTTTGAATTGGGGTAGAGCCGATTAACAATGTTGTGATAGTTTCAGGTGGACAGGGAAGGGACTCAGCCATACATAAACATGTATCCATTCTCCCCCAAGCTCCCCTCCCATCCAGGCTGCCACATTTATTTTTGTTTGTTCGTTTTTTGGCCTGCCACTCGCTCACCAGGGATTTAACCCAGGCCTCCACAGTGAAAGTGCCAAATCTTAACCACTAGACCACCAGGGAACTCCTTATCTTAAGCTCCTGGTTTCTCAAAGAGGTCATCCTCAAAATGGTAACAATCACAGTAATGGCTCCACGGGGCTATGGTGACTATCAAATGAGATTCCTTAGATATTGGTAAAAGATCTTTTCTTTCAATGGCAAAATTATCTTTCATGCAACTATGAAATAAACCAAGGTCAAATTTTATTTAACTCCTTGGTTAATGTGCAGACCAGTAAGATGTTTGAACTAGCTCAAATGAAAATTTGACTTACAGAGATTTTTATTCTCCTTGGGACATAATTCCTTTGTGTTGTCATGAATAGAAAAAAAAAATGTGTTGTCAGTTTTCTGCAACTTAACTTCTATCCCTACAGAGCTGTTAAACAGCTTAGTCCCTCTAAACGCATCCAGTGAATGGAGTCAGACAATCCTTGGAGACACGCCCCCAGCACTCCGCTACAAGGACGCCAGGATTCTCTCTTGCCCGTTCCCGACACCCAGCAGCTGGATACTGTGGGCCCTGGACAACCCTCTCTCGCCCTCCCTTTCTCCTTGACAACCACATCACATCTGCCCCCATCCCCTCAGCCCGCCCTCTTCTGCTCTGGACCAGATCCTTAGAGAAAAGCCTGGTCCTCCTCCTCCAAGGCCACTCTCCCTTAATTAACTTCCCTCTGGTTTTTTCCAGTGGTTTCCTTCTTCCTCCCTTACGGTGCCTGCTCCATGGCTTAGAAACATCTTCAAATCCCTCTTCTCTTTAAAAACAAACAGAAACAAAAATATGAAATTGCTCACTTGTGTGTGTGCAGTTATGCTCTATAACAACAAGGGGAGGAAAAAAAACTTTTGACATTTTGATGGCTTACAACAGAGATCAACAAACTTTTTCCTTAAAAGAGTCAGGTAGTAAATATTTTAAGCTTTGCGGACCGCATGTGTTTTCTGTTCCTATTTACTTTGTTTTTCTTTACAGCTCCTAAAAACTGTGAAAGCCATTTTTAGCTTGTGGACAGTACAAAAAGAGGCTGCTGGCTAGATCTGGTTTAGAGAAATGTGTTTATTTTTCATTGGTGCTTCTGAGGCAGAATATATTTGCCCCTCTCCCCACCGATGCCGGGCACGGCTGCGTGCTGGCCTGGCCAGTGGAATGTTGGCAGATGTGACTTGAGAAGTACAGGCTTGAGTAGCAGCTGGTCTGAGAAAGATGAGAGACGCATGGAGCAGGCCTGGACCCAGAGCCCAGGGCGGAACCGGAACCATGCCGGCTGAGCCCGGCTTAGGTCAGACAGACCGTCGCCCACCTGCGGTGCGCAGAATGGATGCTGTGCTGTGCCTAGTTGCTCAGTCGTGTCCGACTCTTTGCGACCCCATGGACTGTAGGCCTCCAGGCTCCTCTGTCCATGTGGTTCTCCAGGCAAGAAGACTGGAGTGGGTTGCCATGTCCTCCTCCGGGGAGAATGGATGATTGACTGCTTAAGTGTGAACTGCCTAAGTAGGGGAATTCAGTAGCTGTAGTTATTTAAAATCTGTTTTACTGGTGAAACTCTTAGACTGTGTTTCTGAAGTGTAGTCAGGGATCACCTGCAAAGTGTAATCAGAACACCTGGGATACCTGTTAGTATTAATATCAGTTCCCCGGGGCTTCCCTTTGGCGGGACTAATTTGGAATACCTGAGGGGAAGACTTAATAAGGTGCATTATTACTAAACTCCCTGAGGAGTTTGAGAATTGCAGTTTCAGACTCTTCATGAGTCTTTTGTTTCAAGTATAATAACTGCCTTCATTGGAAACCTCCCATGCCCCAGATGCTTTGCATATTTGCATGATCTTAGTTTTAAATCTTGCAACAACTCTAAGAGGCAGGTCTGACTATCTCCATTTTACAGCTAGGGAAACTGAGGCTTGGAGAGGTTAAATAACTTAGGATCCCATGTCTATGTGATTCTTCTACTCTCCTGATGCCCACTGGCATAGCTTAAGTTGGTTTACAGCTTCGGTGTTCCTTGACATACACAATTAGGCAAATCACCCGGTGCTGTCAGTTCTTCCAGCCAGAAACAAGCTAGTGAAAAAGCGAAGATTAGAGCAAGGAAGTCCACGGGGTCGCAGGGAGACGGTCATGACCGGCCAGCTGAACAAGAGCAAGGGGCAGGGAGAGGGTCTGAAAGGGCAGGAAGCTCCGCCTGGGACTGTCTGTCAAGGGAAGGGGCGGGGCCAGGGCTGCTGATGGGGTTGGTGGGCTATTTCTGGTTCCTAGAGAAAGGAGGGAGGGAGGGGGAAGGGCCCACCGGGGCCAAGGGGCTGAGTGGTCCCACCTGGGAGGGCTCACAGTGGCCAGAAACTTTATAGAGAGCAAACATCCACACAGGTGGCTTCGATGACCTTAGAACTGCCTGGAGATGGTGTTTAAAATTTTGTTTTTCAGGTCACCCCCCACCCCCAGATTCTGACCTACTAGCTCTGAGCTATACCCAGGGATCTTCCTTTTCAGCAAGCTTTCTGAGCCTGATGTTGGTTTTTTGAGATCACACTCTGAAAAACTTTGAACTAAAGAAATGATTCACAAGTGCTAGATCTTTCCCTTTGGAAAAAACCACCTAAGGAACTTGTATAGTGTAAATTCTAAATGCAGAAAAATAGAAGGAAAAAAAAATCATTGGAAATCCTACCAGTCAGGGATACTACTACCAACATTTCGATATGTGAATTCTCCCACATTTTTTTGTGTGTGCACCTCACAGATGGGGCCGTATACTATATTACTCTGTAGCTTGCTTTTTGCATTTAACCATATGTGTTAACATACCTTTGAAGTCAATAAATGTAAACGCACCTCATATTTATGGTTAAATTTTTAGGAGTCGGTGGGGATGCTTGTTTGAGGGGATGGTCTGGGACCGTTCACATCCTCTTCGACGTGCACAATTAAGCAAACTGGATAAGGCCAGAGCCTGGGGCTCGTCTCAAAACCCCAGTGCCCTGCCTCAGCCACACTCCACAGAGTCCTGCCTGGGCTGGGCAAGGAGGAGCCCTCGGCTGGTTCTGGGCAAGCAGCGTACTTTACCAGCGTTGTGGGCAGACACCCGGGGGTTCCAGGAAGCAACCCAGGGAACTGTCAGCCTCTGCTGCTAATCCTGAGGGTTTTCCGGCTCCGAGGCCACTGCCAGTCCTCAAGGCTGGCAGCGCCAAGCCAAAGGAGCGTCCACCCCTGCCCCACCCCTACCTCCCACCCAGGAGAGCCCCTCAGGCATGGGGTCCAAGACTGACTCGAAGATTGAAACCCTGAACCCAGTGAAGAGTCGCCTGGGCGGCTGCCTGTGAACCGGAGAAACGGCCCCCTCCCCCAGGCTCTCTCCTCCCGGGGAGCCCCGCACCCCCGCCCCCACCCAGGAGCCCCAGCAACAATGCAAAGTTCAAATATATGGCTACAAGGAAGTGCATTTGGGAACAATCAGCGGGACCCTGGCCTCTGACCTGTGACCCTAGGGCTGCCCTCCCTTCCTCAGAGAAGGGGCTTGAGTCCTTGGAAACAAAGGAAAGTGTAGAGGGCCATTTTTGAGAAGAAATGAACTTAAAATACAGTCGTTAGTAAAACTTCTTTAAAAAAGTGATTGGATAATTGGCTTCAGTCTGAGAGATAAACAGACAACATAGCAAATCCTTTAACCTCCTGTCCGGGGCCGTAAACGGGCCTGCGTTTGTATTTTCCTGGTGCTTTTATGACCTAGGGCCTGGCCTCTCTCTGCCTCTGGACCAGCCGGCACAAAGCCCAGCTAATCACAGAGAAGTCTCGGAAATGAGGGTCTAGAATGGAATTTCCTCCTCACGCTCCGCAGGCCGCAGCCTCTTCACAGCACTTCCCTCTCTGGAAGGCCCTGCTCCCCCGCCTCCCCCACCTCGGGAAACAAAGGGACCGTTTCAAGCTTTCCTTGGAGCCCAGCGTGCCCTCTGGGGGTGCAAGAATCCCGTGAAAGCAGTTCTTTATGCTCCCTTCCCAGGAGTAGGGCTGTCAGAGGAAAGAAAATAAATCAAGCACCCCACATTTGAAGGCAGGAGGACAAGGGGACAACAGAGGATGAGGTGGTTGGATGGCATCACTGACTCGATGGACATGAGTTTGAGTAAGCTCCAGGAGCTGGTGACAGACAGGGAAGTCTGGCGTGCTGCGATTCATGGGGCCACAAACAGTTGACTGAACTGAACGCCACATTTGTGGGGTGTACTATGTATAAATACCTGTGTGTGAGGGGGATACAAAAGTGCTTCTTGTAGCTGGTAGGAGCCTTGCCTTCAAAGAGCTTCCTGGGGAATACCATTGCTCATCAGAGCGCAGGGGGACAGTCAATTCACAATTCAAGACTGCAGTCAAAGCGATCCTGTGACAGAGGAATGTCACAGGCCTTAAGAGTTCAGGAAATGTTAAATATTCCTTGAGCGTCTCTTCCACCTGCCAGTCACGAGATGCAGGAGACAGGGGTCGATCCCTAGGTCAGGAAGATCCCCTGGAATAGGAAATGGTTACCCACTCCAGTATTCCTGCCTGGAGAATGCCATGGACAGAGGAGCCTGGTGGGCTATAGTCCATGGGGTCGCAAAGAGTCAGACACAGCTGAGCAGGCATACACACATATTTCCTTTGCTGACTCCCCAGTCAAGAATACTGGAGTGGGTTGCCATGCCCTCCAGGGGATCTTCCTAGCCCAGGGATCGAACCCGTGTCTCTTACACTCCTGCATTGGCAGGTGGGTTCTTTACCACTAGCGCCAACTGGGAAGTCCTATTGGATAAGACAATGGATTGCAAATACCCTTTGCTGGTAACTTGTCTCAGAAGGTGGTTCCCATCTGTTCTTTCCTTCCTTCTATACTTAGGCCACTTCCTCTTGGAGGAGTGGAGTCTAGTTCTTTGCCTCCTTGAATCTGGGCTGGCCTGTCACTGCTTTGACAAATAGAAGATGGTGGAAATTATGCTCTGCCAGTTGTAGCAGAAATTATGCTCTGCCAGTTTTTGACCAGTTGGTCAAAAATCTGCCTGCAATGTGGGAGACCCTGCTTCGATTCATGGGTTGGGAAGATCCCCTGGAGAAGGGATAGGCTACCCACTCCATTATTCTTGGACTTCCCTGCTGCCTCAGCTGGTAAAGAATCCGCCTGCAATGTGGGAGACCTGGGTTCGATCCCTGAGTTGGGAAGATCCCTGGGAGAAGGGAAAGGCTACTCTCTCCAGTATTCTGGTCTAGAGAATTCCATGGACTGTATAGTCCATGGGGTTGCAAAGAGTTGGACACGACTAAGCAACTTTTTCAGTTTGTTCCAGGCATGAAATTTAAGGGGACTGGTGATTTCTGCTTCTTTTCTCTTAAGAACCCAGCAGACATTGGAGCCCATTAGTGCCCATGTGAAGTGGAGTATTTCCGACCATATCATAAACAGGGACGCCACAGACATCAGCGATTCCGGTCCTGCACATGTGTTTCTGAGCCCATGAAGGACAATGTCTGCTATCAGGCGGTTGCTGCCATGAGCCGCCACCACTCCCTAGTGTGGGTAAGGAACTAAGGATGTGAAAAATCAAATCGCAGGATACTGGCCCCAGATAGCTGAGGTACAGATGAAAGGAAGGATTTCAGCAAGCCCAGCCTCTCGTATCTTCTCACATATAGAAAAGCAATACATTCCTTAACTTGAGATATCTGATTTTCCTTAATTAACAATAACCTTTTGATGCTCAGACTGCCTGCCCTTCTGTCAGGGTTACTTGAGGTGCTGCCTACTGGGCTTGAAGTTCTAGAAATTACCACAGAGCAATGAAGACCTAGCACAGAAAAAAAAAATAATATATATATATACACACACACACACACACATATATATATACGTGTGTGTGTGTGTACGCGCTTAGTCACTTAGCTGTGTCCGACTCTTTGTGATCCTTTGGACTGTAGTCCGCCAGGCTCCTCTGTCCGTGGAATTTCAGGCAAGACGACTGGAGTGGGTTACCATTTCCTTCTCCAGGGGATCTTCCCATCCCAGGGATAGAACCCAGGTCTCTTATGTCTCCTGAATTGGTAGGTGGATTCTTTATCACTAGCACCACCTGGGAAGCCCATATATATATATATATATATATATGGAGAAGGGCATGGCAACCCACTCCTGTATTCTTGCCTGGAGAATCCCATGGACAGAGGAGCCTGGTGGGCTGCAGTCCACAGGGTCTCACAGAGTCGGACATGACTGAAGTGAATTAGCATGCACACACACACATATATATTAAGAAACAACAGAAAGAACGAACTGCCAAAATGTTGGGTACTGAGAATAAACACTGCGAATGATCAGGAAAGGGGAGATGAGGACCCAGCAGCATCCAAAGGGGTTGCAGCAGAATCAGGGGCGGGCTCTCCCTGAAAGACTGGAAAACCAATGTCGGGGGGGCTGTGGGAGAGGAGGATGGTCACAGCCAGTACACATTCTTTGAAAATGTGATTTTTAATGATTACAGAATTTTCCGTCTCATGAATAGCCACAATTTATTAACCTATCCCTGTAATTTTGTACATTGATGAGGTTGATAATTTTGGCTATTTTAAGTAACACTAAAATGAAAGTCTCTAAAACAGTTTTTGCATGCATCTGATCATCCTTTGAAGAGAGATGACTAGACATGGAACAGTGGGCTGAAAGGCGAACATTTAAAAATATTCTTGACAGTCATTGCCAAGCATCCTGCTAAAAAAAAATTGCCCACTCACACTTTGTCCAGCTGCGTCTAAGAAGCTCCTGCCATTTTATTCAGGTTACAAACAAACAAAGAGAAGGCATAAAACTATGTGCTGCCTGACTTTTTTGTAAATATGTGAAAATAGATGGAAAATAACTCAAAATGTTAACAGTGCATAACTCTGGGTGATGAGGGTTTATAGGTAATCTGAAGGAAATGGCAACCCACTCCAGTATTCTTGCCCGGGGAAATCCCATGGAGAGAGGAGCCTGGCAGGCTACAGTCTATGAGGTCGCAAGAGTTGGATGCCACTTAGCAACGGGATGTTTTTCTTTATTCCTTTCTCTATACATTTCTTAAATAGGATGTGCATTACTTTCAAAACTAACATTTTTAAGCAGAAAAAGGAATATGACAGAAAGAACACTGCTCAAGTCCAAGAGAATGGTGTTGTCCCGGGCCTGCGTTGGCAGGGTCAGCGGGCACACACCACGCAGCCCTGCCGGGCTTCGGCGGGCCCGTCTCCACCGCCGCCAGTGCGACCCAGCTCAGAGAACCCTGAGAATCACCTGAGCACGTACACACGTCCTTCCCAGAGTCCCAGCCCAGGCTCACTGGGTGGAACTGGTAAGGGACGGTAGGATAGGGTGCGGCGCCTGCATGGGTGTTTTTAGACAGCGACTCCTGTCCCCTCATGAGCAGTGTCGGGGCTCGCCTCCCCACCGCAGCCTCCGCGGAAGGCCCGCGGGGTGCAGACCGCTCCCGGCAGAGCTGCAGCCCCGCTGGGCGGCAGAGCGGGCAGCGCGGCCACGGATACGCCCTGCGTGCTCCGCGCGTCTCGGCTGCAGGCGGAGCTGACTCGGGATGCACGTGTACAGACGGTGACTCAGAACCAGACAAAGCGCGCGTCTCCCCTGCGCTGCAAGTGCCCTGGGGGTCAGAGGGGCGCCTTCGCGGCCGCCCCGGCTCACCCCGTGTGAGGGCCCGGGGTCTGGCTTTTGGGGGGGTCTGTGGTGGAGGAGAGGCCTGGTGGAGGGTCAGGCGAAGGCAGCCGCGTTGGCCGAGGCCGTGTGTGGCCTCTCGCCGCGGGGCCAATGGGGCGCGGCCACCGCGCGCTGGCCGGGCTCCCGGTCGCCTCTGGAGCCGGGAGACGAGGGCAGTTCCGTCCTCCGCGGGCCCCTCCGGCCGCTTCGACGGGGAAGGGGCTGGGCCTGCCGCCGGTTCCCTCAGCAACGGGGCCTGGCCCGGCTCCCCCGCCGGGAAGGGAGAGAGCGGCGGCCTCTCCGGGCCTGTCCGCCTTCGCGGCAGTGGGCGCCCCGGGCACGCCGGGCGCCTGCTTCCAGCCCCGCCCCGGGCCCTCCCCGGACGGAGGAGGCCGCAGCCGGGCTGGTGGTTTTCGTGCTGAAACGCGGGTGCAGCCGGGCCGGCAGGGGGAGGAGGCGTCAGGAGCCTGGGGTGAGCTTCGCTCCCCAGAGCGCTGCCCCGGCTCCTGGCCTTCCGCCCCCCAGAGCTCGCGCTGGGCGTTTTCCGACCAGCCTGTCGAAACGACTAAGCATCCTTCTCAGCGTTTCTGTTTTCAGGGCTTCTTGATGGCTTCTCCCACCGGACTCCCCTCTGCCGGGGGGTCCGCAGGCCTCCGCCCGCCCACGCGCCACCGCCTCTCCCGTCTTGCAGGGTCCTGTCTCCCCCGCTGCCTCATTCGTTTCTGCCCACGTTGCTTCTCGCCGTTTATCTATTTCCTTCACTCACACGCGCGCGCACCCCGTTGCAAAGACAAAGGAAAAGCCCCCCCTTCTCTTTCTAGTCTTAGTTTTCTGTCAGGCCTTTAGGGGAGTGGATACAGCCATCCAGGCCTAGAGACACTGGCAAACTTGGTGAACCGGCGAGGCCACCCTCTTTAGAGAGCTTCTGTCCTACTGATGTTTAGATGTCTTGGTACTGAACGATGTGAGCTCTCAGATCTAGAAGCGTAGCTGCTACGGAAGGGACCACTTTTCCTGACCACCCCCGAGGAGTGAGAAGCTCGTGTATTTCACACACTTCACATTCTCAGAAACACCATCACTGTCTTCTGCAGGTACCCTTGCTGTTTTAAATGACTCCCACAAGGCCATTTCCTTAGGGACTGTTGTTTCAACCTGGGAAGCATCATGATGTGAAGTGTCACGTTGAGGGGGGCTCTGTCACCCTTTCACAAGGTAGCTTTTTGTTGTTGGAGCATCACCAAGAATACTCAAGATCCATTAGCACGGAGCATGTAAGCCCACATGGAAGCTACTCTGCTGAAGTGAAGGAAAGTCCCTCAGTTCTGTCCAACTCTTTGCGACCCCATGGAGTATGCAGGTCATGGGATTCTCCAGGCCAGAACGCTGGACTGTCTAGCCTTTCCCTTCTGCAGGGAATCTTCCCAAACCAGGGACCGAACCCAGGGACCGAACCCAGGTCTCCCTCAGTGCAGGTGGATTCTTTACCAGCTGAGTCACAAGAGAAGCCCCACACTCCCCTGACCCACACACAAATAAAAAGATGCCGGTTCGCTTTTCACAGGGAACCTAGACCAGCCAGCATCTTTCTTATACCTGCCAGTACCTCGAACCCCAGCCCACGAAGCCCTTCACTTCCAACTTCCGCAGGTAGGCTTGTTGTGAAGATTAAGACAGTTTATGTGTGCTGAGCATGGAGCTCAGGGCCTGGTGCACAGTGAACAGTTGTAATAGCAATAGTAATATTGCCTTTGACCTTCTGGCTGTGGGAATGAACCTCTGTTATCTCCATGCTTCCCATAAACTAGTGCAAGGGTTATTAACCTTGATTCACAGAGATGGACGCTCAGGCAGGTTCAGTAACCAGCCCAGGGTCACCCAGCCAGTTAGACGGTGCCGTCCAGGTTTGAACTCAAAGTGCTCTACATCACACAAGCTCTGTCCCAAGCGTTTGCGGTATCTCTCCAGCGGTTGTGACAGTATTGTAAATGGTTTGCTTAGCCCGAGTCCCCGGAGGTTTGTTCTGTGGAGACAAGTCCATTATGTCAATGCCTTTGAAATCAGCTGGAGGCAGTCCTTCGGTGCGCGGCTTTTAGCGCCTACTGAGCAGGTGGAGAGAGAAGAGCAGTGAACAGGGTGCTTTGCAGCTGGAGGAGGGCTCCTTGGGCAGCCCCGGTTCTCCGGCGAGGCCGCGGTTTAAGGCCCCCGAGGAGAACTGCTTCATACGAAGGCAGAAGAGATGGCTGTTCCCACGCTCTTGCGATTTTCGGGGAAAAGGCAGGTCCCCTGCAGCGTATCCTCTAGATCCAGATGGTCTGATATGAAAGCATCCGAAGAGCCAACATTAAAGAATCATTCTTCTGAGGTCTCTCCTCTCTCTAGAGTCCTCTTTTCAGAGGAAGATGCCCACAAGCAGGAAAGCACCAGGGTGACCGTCGCCCTGCAGGGCAACGAGCGTCGGCATCCGGGCTGGAGAGGAAAGGGAGCGCGGCGACAAAGGAGGGAGGTGGGCATCTGGGTGTTCTCCCCAGGCGCCCCGGGGAGTATCTTTGATCGGATCTTGGCTTCATGATCTTGGTGGGTTTTCTTGCTGCTCTCTGCTCCTTTTTCGACCAGGAAGGGGAAAGAGGGATGGCAGACGAGAGGGTGTGGGTGGAGGGTGGAGGTTAAGCGAGGAGTTGGGCTTCCCTGTGGCTCAGAGGTAAAGAACCCGCCTGCCAGTGCAGGGGATGTGGGTTCGATCCCTGGGTTGGGAAGATCCCCTGGAGAAAGAAATGGCAACCCACTCCAGTATTCTTGCCTGGGAAATCCCATGGACAGAGAAGCCGGGAGGGCTGGAGTCCGTGGGGTCGCAAAAGGGTATCGATTTAACAAGGGAGGGATTGGCTGCCTGGTTGAATGGCGGTGAATGGACACGAGGGAAGTTGTGTCTCACCCCTGGCAACCCACTCCAGTATTCTTGCCTGGAGAATCCCATGGACAGAGGAGTCTGGCGGGCAGTCCGTGGAGTCTTGAGAGTCAGACACGACTGAGTGACCAAGCCTCCAACACACGTGTGTGCACAAATGCCACAGACACACCCCATATGCAGACGCCCACCCTCCCCCGCATTTAAAGAGGATAACAGTGCCCCCTGGTGGCGATTTACAAATAAGACAGCTCTAAACCTCCACTGAGGTTTAAAGTTCCCTGGTGGCTCAGGTGGTAAAGCGTCTGCCTACAATGCTGGAGGCCTGGGTTCAATCCCTGGGTCAGGAAGATCTCCTGGAGAAGGAAATGGCAACCCCACTCCAGTATTCTTGCCTGGAAAATCCCGTGGACGGGAGGAACCTGGTAGGCTACAGCCCATGGGGTCGCAGAGTCGGACTCGACTGAGCGACTCCACTAAGGCTCCATGGAAGAAGACACATGTGTTACTCTGCACTTAATTTACAAGGGGGACAGTCGAAAGTGCCCCATGGCCCTCTTGTCCTTTTCTTGGAAAATGAGCTGAGCCCTAAACGTCCTTCTGAGAAGAGCTTTGCAGCATTCCTGGGGGTCGTCTGGGTGAGCGGACAATACCTAGAAAACAGCTCCTGAACAAAACGCCATGTCCTTGGTATCTTGAGACCCTGGCTTTGTGCTGGCTCGGGAAAGAAGCAGCAGGCTTAAGGAACGGGGATCGGTGAAGAAAGTCTTGATTTCAGGAATCAATTCCAGCCACTGTGCATTTTATCTGTAAGCCGCAGCAAGAGCAGAGAACCCTGTACTGATTCAACATCATCAGTTTCTGCTTCTCTGACTTGAGCATGGTCTCTCCAGTAATGGCTCGTCTCCCCTTGATACAATGAAAAGAAACGCCGCCCATTTGCCTCACCGAATCCCTACCCTGTAGAGGCACTGTGCCTGCAAGCTGCTGACATCAGGGTCAATGCAGACATACCTGTGGGCCTTGCTTTCCTCTTAGGAACTCAGACAGCCCAGGTCACAAGTGATCTTTGTCTCATCTTTATCTTATCCAAAATCAATGAGATTGTGCAGACACTGAGCTTAACTCACTGCCTGTACCTCCTAATTGTTCTGTAACAGCAGCTCTGAATGTATCTAATATGTCTGGAACTCCCTGTATGTATAGGAACTAAAAGCTATTTCTAGGGAGCAACATGAATTTTTAAATGCTTTGGGATTTTAAAAGGACTCATTAAAAGGCATTGGGATTTCCAGCTGTGAGATCTTTTATTTATGTAGGAGTTTAAAGAGTGCTTTGCAAGTGCTAGCTTGTGAATCTTCGCAAAATCCCCTGGAAGTGACTGGCCCCCCAAAAAGGGAACACGGATGAACCGTTAATCTGAGTAATATAGCAGTAAAGTCAGGACGGGGCAGGGAACAAGCCGTTCTTAACCCCGCCGCCCCCCAAGTCTGGAGCCGTAAAGCTCCCTTGTAAACAACCTGGTTTTGCCTGTAAGTTCTAGGTAAGGGAGACTCTTTATTTGCCCCAAGGTGGGGAAGGAATAAAGCTCTAAAATAATTGTGGATGAGCTAGGAGCAGGATAATAAGGGAGGAGGGTGGAGGAGGGTTCTTGTTGTCCCTTCTCCTCCCCGACATTTGATTATAGGTGAAATCAGGTGAGAGTGAGAATCAAGAGACACAGAGAGGAGTGGTATAAGGGGCACCAGGGGCTTGCAGGAGGTTTTGGGGGAGGGTCTGTGGCCTTGCCTTTCAGCTTCTGTTGGCCGCCTAGGTTCCTTGGCTTGTTGCCCCTTCCTCCGCTTTCAAGGAGTGCCCCTCCAGTCTCTGCTTTCATCATCACATGGCCTTTCCCTTTCTTCTCTAGCTCTCCAGATTTGTATGCAGGTCAGGAAGCAACAGTTAGAACTGGACATGGAGCAACAGACTGGTTCCAAATAGGAAAAGGAGTATGTCAAGGGTGTATGTCATCACCCTGCTTATTTAACTTATATGCAGAGTACATCATGAGAAACGCTGGGCTGGATGAAGCACAAGCTGGAATTAAGAT